AATTTGTAACTCGCTTGCATCAACCATACTAGATAATAAAAGTGGCATTTGCTTTAGTATCAATTATAATGATTTATTACTTGCAATATTTATTTATGCACAAGCATAAAAGTTTCTGAGCCAACAAAATACATGTTTCAAAGCTGACTCATCAGAATTTATGTACTAAACTGGGTGTGATGGCCTACCCCAGTAATCCCTGCACATGGGAGGCTGAGGCAGGATTGCCATGAGTTCAAGGCTAGCCTGGACTATATAGCAAGACCTTGTCTCAAAAAAAAAAATTAAAATTATATGATGGGGCAGAGATATAGCTCAGTGGCACAAGTGCCTGCCTGGCAAGCGCAAGGTCCTGAGTTCAATTCCCAGTACCAAAAAATAATAATAATAAAAATTATATGGGTACACTTAGTTATTTTTGACTACCTGAAAAGAGAGTGAATGGACTAAATGACAAATCTAAAGACAGTATCAGCGTATAGAATAGAAGTAAGGCAATGGGAAATGCTCTATTTTATTTTACTTTATTTTATTTTTGAGACAGGGTCTCGCTGTGAAGTTCAGGCCAGCCATGAGCTCATTTTGTAGCCCAGGTAGGTCTCGAACTCCCAACGATCCTCCTGCCTCAGCCTCCCAAGTGCTGGGATTATAGGCATGCACCACCATGCCTGGCTGGCAATGGGAAATGTTAAGGGAAGTAGAAAATGGAATGAAAAGATAACTGACACATCTAACTTCTGATTGCAGTTCAAAGGAAGAGAGTAGGGAAAACGGAGAAGAAGCGATATTTGAAGGAATGACCAGAACTTTTCCAGAACTGATGGAAGACATATTTATGTCTATGCATGTGTATCTATAGTACAGAAAGCACAAGGTTGAACAAGATAACCAAAAACAAATATCTAGATTAATTACAGTCAAATTTGACAACAACAAAGAAAAAGAAAATATCTCTAAAACCATCAATGAAAAATATATACTGACAAGGAAATAACAAATTCACAGCAAAATGGATGGGATGTTACCAGTAACAGTGAAAGCTAGTAGACTCAGCGTTGTGTGGTGGCAAAGCTTTTTCTTTCTTTCTTTTTTCTTTTTGTCTTTTTGAGACAGGGTCTCGCTATGCAGTTCAGGCTGGCCTTGAGCTCACTTTGGAGCGCAAGCTGGCCTCGAACATGCATCAATCCTCCTGCTTCAGCCTCCCAAGTGCTGGCACTACAGGTATGTGCCAGTGTGCCCAGCTTGTCTTTTTAAAACAAAGTTTCACTATGCAGTTCAGGCTGGCCTTTAATTCACTTTGTAGCCCAGGCAGGCCTTGAACTCACAGCGATCCTCCTGCCTCAGCCTCCCAAAGGCTGGGACTACAGGTGTGCATCACCATGCCTGGCCATTTTTTTGTTTTGAGACAAAATCTTACTAAACTGCCCAGGTGGGATTCAAACTTTCAGTCCTCCTGCCTCTGCCTTCCTGAGGGCTGGGACGACAGGCTTGAGTCACCGCACCTAGCTTAGGCAAGGGATTTGAGTAGACATTTCTCCAAAGAATATATAGAAATGATCAATTTCCAGTGAAAAGATCCTTTTAAAAAAGATGCTCAACCTTATTATCAGCATTATTAAACATTATGGAACTGCAAATTGGAACCACAGTAAGATACCACTTCACAATCAATAGAATGGCCATAATTTTTTTTCTTGTGGTACTGGGGATTGAACCTAGGGACTCATGCATGCTAAACAAGTGCTCCACCACTGAGCTACACAGGGTGCTCAGCTGTCCTTCAAGAAAAAGATGAATGATTGTAAAAAGCAAGCTCTGTTTGGATGTGGTTGTGCATGCCTATAATCGCAGTACTTGAGAGGCTGAAGCAGGAGGCTCATGAGTTCAAAACCAGGGTGGACCAGCCAGAGTCTCTCCCCCAAAGGAATCTGACCACATAACTGAATTACTCTCTATGGCCCACTCCTGGCATGGACACAGGTGATTGGGCTAGAGGTGGAGACCCAATTTAAACTGGGTTTATCAAATTCACTCCCCAAGAAAGAACTTGGTGGGGAGGATGTAGACAGGGTAGAACCCAGGGTTCCTACAGAGAGGAGAAACCACCATAATGAGAGGGAGACAGAGACACAGACTGACCAGAGAGGAGTCCAGGAAGAGGAGAAACAGAGAGAGAAATCAAGTCAGAGAGTTTGATTTGTTTTGTTTTGTTTTTTGTGTTTTTGAGACAGGGTCTCGCTATGCAGTTCAGGCTGGCCTTGAGCTCACTTTGTAGCCCAGGCTGGCCTTGAACTCACAAAGATCCTCCTGCCTCAGCCTCCCGAGTGCTGGGACTACAGGCATGCGCCACCACACCTGGCATGTCAGAGAGTTTGAGAAATGGAGCAAGACCGAGTCTGAGATTGGGAGAGCAGAAACCAGTGAGTGCGAGAGCGGATGAAAGATCAGAACTAGGAGAGGCACGGCCTGGATTCTGCTGGTTCTGAAGTTTCTGGTTCCAGCCCTGGCTGAGGTTACCTGCGCTCTGTTACTTGTAATCAAGGCTTCCAGCAGGGTGAGGTGGCGCATGCTTGTAATCCCAGCGCTCTGACAGGCTGAGGCATGAGGACTGCAATTTGGAGCCCAGCCGGGGCAATTTCACGAGAAGACTCTGTCTCAAACCTTAAAAAAATAAATAAATGAAAAGGGCTGGGTGCATAGCTCAGTGCAAAGCCCTGGGTTCAGTCCCCAGTGCTGCAAACAAAAGCCAGGGTGCAGTCCCCACCTCTCCTCTTCGGCACTAACCGGCTCTCTGCCGGACGCCCCACCCATCTCCTTGTGCTGCCTCCAGCTGTGCTTAAATCTCCTCAATCCTTCTAGGCTCTGATCTTGTCCAGATTTCCGGGTGGCTTTTCTCTATCACCTCAGCTGCTACAGCCCTCCAGACTCTGGAGAGTATTATCTGGGAAATCCCTGTTTGTAAGCAGCCGCCCGCCTCTGGCCTCCTGCCTGTGCCTTCCCTGCCTGCCACTGTATCCATCTTGCTAGACTTCACAGTAACGGGGGATCAGTCACTGGACACAGGCTGAACCTGAGAACTTCACGAGGGCGTGGTCCAGCCAGACGAAGGGAAGGAGTCCGGACCCAGGAGCTGTCCTGTGCATTTAAGGCCCCCTGAGAACTACGCCCGTCACCTCCCTGCAGACCCCATCAGGACTTCCGAGTAGAATCTAGAACCAGCCCCTCACAGACAAGGACACTGAGGTCCAGGGGATCTCACAGCTGGCAAGTAGCACATCTGGCTTTGAAAGCAAGATGCTCAGAAACTGGGTGTCGCTGGCTCAACTCGACAGTGGTAGGTTTCATCCTGTCTCATAAAGGTCTGTCTGCTTGCACACCTGGCCTGGCATCTGGTAGGCGCTGCAGAGACGTATGGTGAATGAAGGAAGGCGTCAAGTGCCAGCTGCTGCCTGCCACAGCCTCTTTATGCAGACCCTTGTTTGAGGACAGCAAGGAATGTAATGAGGTAGGGCCACCTTCCCAGCACCTTCCTGGGGGGGCAAGGGCCTGTGGTCAGGCTGGAGTACACGCCCTTGGGCTCCTGAACGCTGACCCTTCAGCCATGGCAATCCAGACCACGCGTGGCCCCGCTGTCAGTGAGAGCCGCTTCCTGGGAGCAGAAGGAAGTGGAGACCGGAAGTGGGTCACCCTGCCATCAAAAGGCCACAGCCCTGCGTATGTTCACCTTCTCTGCAGCTGTGGGGTGCTCAGACAGAAAAGCTTCTAACTGATTACACACTGCACCCCCAGGAGCAGGGCTGCAGCTTACGTAAGAGGGCAAATCAGGCACGGGCCAGACACGGCCATGGAAGAAAGTTTTTTGTTCTGGTTGTACGCAATGCCCACTCCAGTCCCCTTCCTGACAGTGCTGGACGGGCTGGGAGAAGGACCTGAGTGTACCTTTCCCCCTTCCTACCCCCCTGACTGTTGATGCCTCCAAGATTCTTCTGATACCACAACTGGCCTCTGATGTGCTATTTTATTATTTTATATTACTTTACTGCTTGGTGCTAGGGATTGAACCCAGGGGACTTCCTAGTGAACTACATTTTCAGCTCTTTTTATTCTTCATTTTGAGACAGGGTCTTGCTACATCATTACTACCTTCCCTGGGCTGGGCTCAAACTTGGCAATCTTCCTGCCTCAGCCTCCTAAAATGCTGGGATTACAAGCAGGCGTTACCATTGTGTCAGGCTGATTTACTATTTTAAACCAAATACCTTTTCCCACAACAAAACCCTGCCCATTTGGCCAGTTATTTTACTCCAGGGATAGGGCTTTTTTTTTTTCCTCTACAGAAGAGTCGAGCGTGTTTAGAACAGCATGAGGAAAAGAAGTGAGAGAAAAATGGAAAGAGATTGATCCTCACTGGGGAGGAGGTCAGCCAGCCCAGCTGGAGAAGGCAACAGGCAGGAGGAAGATGCCAAAGGACCACTTAGCCAGCTTTCCAGACTCCGGGTCAAGCCATTGTATAAGCTCCACAGTACTGGAAAGAAGAGACAAAAATCAGGACATATTTTTAGTTTTGTTCAGGAGCCCAGAACATGTTCACAACTCCAGGCATCTCTGCTCTTCCTTGCAAATGGAAAATATGATCTATGAGAACAGACTTGAGTGCTAGAGAGTGTGTCTAGTTGCTCAGCCCTGTAAACTTAGAAACGCTGGACCTCACACCACCTTGTGACTGCTCTCCAGGGCTCTCTGCTCACCTGAGTGACTTCAAAATCAAAATACAGAATGTGCATTTACTGACATGTGCTCTGCGTGACACTGAGCTTCCTGCAAGAGTAAAAGCTAATACAAAAGGAATCAGACTAACACTGTGGGTACTGGGAGATGCTTTTTCAAGACTTAGATGAGGAACTGTGATTACCCTATATGCAATACTTTCATTTTAAATGTACACCAGGATTCCAAATGTCAGCCACTGAAAGAAATGTTATTTACATTTCAAGTCAAAATACTGTCATTTATTTCTTTATTTCACCACCATTTCTATGTATCAGCTGTGATGAGGCCTGGCTTACATCCCATGGAGCAGGGGCAAAAACTATGCTTTATATCGGTTATTTCATCCTCAGCGTCAGATCATCATTATTACAGAGGTGAGCAAAACCATGCAGAAGGAACGGGAATTACACTTGCATTCGTGCTTCTAAATGAAGAACACAGCTGCGGAGTTTTGCCAGCGGCCAATTTCTTCTGTTTCTTTTCTGAAAAAACACGCAAGGGCTTTATTTGGTCATTTGGGGGGCTCTGTGCCAACTGGTATCGTGGGACAAAGACAAGAAGAAACAAACAAGCAAACTGCACCAGAACAGATGTGTTTAAATTAACCGAGTGACAGCATGTGCATCAGTCCCGCCGTCACGGGAGGTGGGACGGGGTGTGAAGAACCACAGACTCAGCTGCTCAGAGGCTGTTGAGCAACCCCAGGAAGTCTCAGCGAGGCGCCCCCTCCCGGCCGGCGCTCGCCACCCCTGCTTGCCCGCTGCTGCCGCCTGGAGGGTGCTCTTCCTCGCAGCGTGTCTGCAGCAGGGGCCCGGGCGGGGGTGCTTTGGAGATACTGGAAAGCACTCTGGCGGCCCACCTGCCTCTCTGCACAGTTAAAGGTGAGGGCCACACCCACGTTGCTCTTCATAATTCTGGAGGAGCCGTCCGAAGTGCCATCAAAGCACCGGCCAAGAGCAATCTCCTTGGCCACGCGAGGGTCCTGGTCTGTGACAGTGTAGATGCCATAGTTGTGGCCCAGCGGGTCCAGCGGCGCCAGCATGGTGTACTCGCCAGTGTCATTGTTGACCGCCAGTGGGAGGTGGTTGACCAGATACTCGTGCAGCATGGAGTTCACGCTGGCTCGCTGGCAGCTGCCCTGGGGGATGACCTTCACCAGGGTACGGTCCACGCGGTCCTGGTCGTAGAGCATCCCGCTGCACTTGAACTCCAGACACGCGGCTGAGACGTTGGGCTGGTTCCTGTCTCGAGTGCTCTTCACGTCCCGGATTCCGTAGAGCTTCCCCACTGTCCGCCGGTGGGTGCCCCCCATGTTGCGGGATCGCACGTTCACCTCCAGCGGCCCCACGATCTTCACTTTGATGTAGCAGGCCCTGAACTCCATTGGCTTGGGCCACCAGGCCAGGTAATCTTCGGTCCAGCTCATGGGGTCATCTTCATGGAAAGGAACCGTGTTGTAGTCATACCGATCCCCCTCAATTTGGTAGAACCGGAAGTGGGCCGCACTGGGCGGCGCCTCCTCACAGGCCCGGAGGTTCTCAAAGGCGTAGATGGGCCCGTTGCTCTCCTCCGCGGAGTTGGGCCTTGGCTTGGCCATGCTGATCTGGAAGGCTGTCTTTTTAACCCGAGGATCCTCGTGGTCTGTGCGACGATACTTGAGCTTGCTGAGGTAGGGCTGAGGGACGCCGATTGCATTGGGGTTGAATTTAGGAGAAGACTCCACTGCTTCCAGCTCCTCCCCACCCAGGCTGGCCAGGAGGTAGGCGGAGTAGGCATCCGGGGCCTGGTCGTCGCAGAAGGCAGGCACGCAGGCCCCATTGGACCCTGTGAGGACACTGTCAAAGCGGCCCCAGGCCCGAGGGTTGGACGAGAAGCCAGTTCTGGGCTCCAAGTTGATCACAGAGACCACGACGCCCTGGATCTGCTCACTGGGCAGGAACCTCTCACTGCGGTAGGCCCTCACCTTGATGAAGCACCTCCTGCTTTCAGGGACATCCAGGTTAAAGAGCCTCCTCTCTCGGATCTCCATGTTGCCCACCAGGAAGGTTCTCTGTTCCCTTTTGTTCCTCCTTTGGCTTTCAAATTTGAACTCGCCTTCCTCCTCCCACAGCCCCGTGTCTGGGTTGAGCGACCAGAGTTTCATGGCGGGCACGTGTTCCGGCATCTTGACCTGGGTCGAGTCGAGGTGGACCTTGACCTTGCCAGCATTCAGGGGCTCTGAGGTGGCCTCACCGGCGAAGTCCACCGAGAACATGCCATACGTCCGCAGGGGGAAGGTGTCTCCTTCCTCGTTGATGAAGCTCAGGTCGCTCTGGGTGGCCGTGGCTGTGGAAATATCTCGGGGATCCAGGAAGGTCACACTGGCCTTCACCTTGCCTGCGTAGGGCTCTCCATTCTGCCTGTAGAAACTCCCCGATGGGATCTCCAGTTCAGCCACGGGGTCTTCGCCGGCCACCTCTCCCAGGGGGATGACGTTGGTCTCCATGGCGTCCAGAGTGATGGGCTCCTTCCGCCGAAGCACCTTGATCTCGTGGAATACTGCGCTCCCCTTCCTGTTGAAGGGCAGCACCTTGGTGGTGTTGACAAATTTCTGTAGCCTGTCCACAAAGGTGAGCACCAGCCTCTCCGTGTCCTGGGGGACGTGGAGGGTGAAAGTGCCCTTGTAGCCGGTCATGCTCACACGGTGGCCCCCCATGTACACGTGGCCGAAGCGCATGGGCTCCCCGGTGTCTGCGGCACTGACGCGGCCCCGCACGATGCTCCGCGTCTCCGTACACCGCTGGCAGCTGCACTCCTTGGCCACCTTGGTGGGCAGCGTGTACCCGCTGCACTGGATCTCCCTCTCCTCCGTCTTGGAGATGCCACAGCAGTTCTCCACGGCATCCCGGCACCTGATCCCATTATCCTGCTTCCCTGCACAGGTCTTAATAGGACAGTGGCCCACGTCATAGTAGAAGGAGTTGGTGGCATTCTGGAAGCAGTCGTGGGGCAGCCGGATAAGGTAGCTCTCAGGGGTTGGGTTGCAAGGACTCTCATCGGGGGCTGAGGAAGAAACGGTGAGGATGTTAAGATGCAAGTTCACATCCTCCATGGGGTACCTCAGTGTCACCTCTGCAGTGCCCAAGGGACTTGCTATCTGTGACCTGGCTTCTCACAGAGCTCTGAGGAGACACGGGGTGGCTATGATCAATCCCACCTTACACATGAGATAGTGGTTCCCTATGAAGCAGTCTGAAAGTGTGGGAGGGTGTTTTTTTTGGGTTATCACCAAGATCAGAAGTGCTAGGGCTGGGGATTTAGCTCAGTGGCACAGTGCCTGCCTGGCAAGCACGAGGTCCTGAGTTCGATTCCCGGTAATGGAAAACAAACAAACAAACAAAAGAATGGAAGTGCTATGGGCCAGGTGCTGAATGTGTACCACCTGATGCTTTATGGCTGGCAGTGCCAGGCTCAGATCCACTGGAAGAATTTTTCTGCATCCTGTATGATTTTCACACACCCAATGGGACACTCACAGGGAGCAAGTGAAAAACCTCTTTAAAATGATTGTAGCTTGGTAGTTGTTACATGGCCTCAACCACACACTGAATTTTCCAAGAATACAGCTATCATAGGAATCAGTCTCAGGTAGCACTTTGTTTGTCTGTGACCATACCAAGAATATTCTCTCATTTTAGACTGATCAACACGACCTGGCAATTGTAGCTATCACATTTGTGATTACCCCGGATTCACGTGCAAATGTCTGAAATCTTGGTTTATCTGTGTCATTGCGCCAAAGCGTTTAGATATTGCAATAGCACTTTTTGTATTAAAGTGTGTCTCCCTCTGTCTCTGTCTCTCTCATTTTGTTTTGTGAGACAGGGTCTTCCTATATAATCCACCAGGCTGGTCTTGAACTCACCACGTAGTCTAGGCTGGCCTTAATCTTATGGCAGTCCTTCTGCATCAGCCTCCTGAATGCTGGGATTACAGGTATATCCACCACTCCTAGCTTTATTTCTCCTTTATATTATAGTTAGGAACACATGCTTATACATTTAGAAATTCTATGTAGTTATCTATATTATCTATATAATTCTATGTAAATTCTATATAATTCTATGTAAATTCTATATAATTCTATATAAATTCTATGTAGTTATCTATATTATCTGTATTATCTATAGATTGAACTTTGGAATAGTAAGTCAATTCTTTTTAAAGTCACTATGCCAGCCAGGTGTGGTGGCACATACCTGTAATCTCAGCACTCAGGAGGCTGAAGCAGGAGGATAGCAAATTTGAGGCCATCCTGGACTACACTATGAGTTAAAGCCTGGTCTAATTTATGCAGAGAGACCTGTTTCCAAAAAAAAAAAAAAAAATCACACCAAACGGGGGAGCACGGGTGTGAGGGGGTGGGGTCCATTCCTGGGTGTTCCACATCTCCTCTGCCGAGATCCAAAATCTCTCTTGTCTGTTCTGTGGTTTGTTGGCTCAAATGTCTAGAAGTCTGTGCAATATTCCAGAGTTCTTCCAATAATACTCGCTTCCTCTGTTTTTTGTTGTGTTTTGTTTAGGCCAATTACTAAGATACCTTCTTTCTCCCTCACTTTCCAAGGACGGGTTTCCAGCAGGACTGTGGCCTCAAATCTCGTCCTCTCCTGTTTTCTTCTAGAAGCCAGTGTAATCAGGTCACCTTTTCTGTTTGTTTTATGTGTCTGCAGGGTGATTACTGTTCTGTTTTAGGCTTGTTTTGTTTTGTTGGGGCGGGGGGGGGTGGTGGTTACCGGGGATGGAATCCAAAGCCTTAAGCTATATCCCCAGCCCATTTTTAAAATTTTGAGATAGAGTCTATGCTAAATTGCCCAGGCTGGGCTCAAACTTTCAATCTTGGATCTTCCTGCCTCAGCCTCCCAGAGTGTTGGAATTACTGGCTGTGTCATCAAACCTGACTAGATCATCCTTTCTTTGTTTGGTGTTTTTGTTTTTTTGTTTTGTTTTGTTTTGTTTTTTGAGACAGGGTTTCACTATGCAGTTTAGGCTGGGCTTGAACTCTCTATGTAGTCCAGGCTGGCCTCGAACTCACAGTGATCCTTCTTGCCTCAGCCTCCCGAGTGCTGGGATTACAGGCATGCGCCACCATGCCCAGCTAGGTCACCCTTGCTTATGAAGCCCTTGGGTTCTCCACTTCCGTGCTTTATTTAGTCTACACCGGCGCCTCAGCCTGGAACAGCTCCACACACAGTTCCTGCCCACTCTTTAAGACCAGGGGTTGGCAACTTTGGCTGTAAATTAGAATCAGCCTAGCATCTTTTAAGCCATGCACACCTAGGCCACATCCTAGATTAAATCAGCCAGTCTCAGGGTAAGGCAGGGGCATCAGTATTTTCTGAGACTATCCGTAGATGGTGCCAAAGGGCAGCTAAGGCTAAAAATGGTTTAAAAAATGGTTTAAGCTTTAGCTGAAAGCAGCCGTCAGAAGGTGTCTGTCTCTGATCCGTCAGAATTCACTGCCCCTTCTCTCCTGTTTCAGCTAAATTTTTCTGGCTTTGTCTCCTATTTACATTTCCTCGGCCCTCCTCAAACGGCGGCTCTGTGACAGCAGGACTCAGGTCGCCACCACCTCAGGGTCCCAGAAGGCGCAGCACTGAGAGAAGCCCGTGCTTGCCGCCCAGTTATGATCCTCCGGCTGCAGAACGGAGGCGCCTGGGAACCCGCAGAAGCTCACCTATGACCATCAGCTGGGCCACCCGCGACCTGGCAGCTCCCGCGTCGCTCTGCGCCTTGCAGAAGTACTCGCCAGCCTGCTCCAGCCGCACGTTCCTCAGCACCAGCTTGCCCTCGTGCTTGTAGAGAGAGGGATCCAGCCGCGTGCCGTTGTGATACCTGCAAGGCAGAGAGGAGGAGCCCGGGGGGCAGTGGAGGGAGACAGACCCATTCCTGTTCCTGCCGTGCCAACGTCACCTTGGACTTGGATCAGCCCGCGAGTCAGAGCCCTTGGTTCTAAGTCCCAGCCCCACCACTTAGACGGCTGTGATCCTTGAACCCGCCGCCTCAGCTTCCGCTTCCTGGGCACTGAAATGGCGCCCACGGTCTCCAGCTGACCACAGAGTTGCCGGGGTTGTCGTGCAAGAAGGGGGGTGTAAGAGGTGACGGGTCAGCTGGCTTTGAGGGTACGAGGGTGCTCAATGGTGACCTGGGCAGCTTCCACCCCACTGGCCGTGCCAGTCAGCGCAGACACTGAGGCTCTGGGCCTGACTTCGCGCCATCCCACTAGTGATCACTGCAGAAGGCCCTGGTCTCCCAGAAGAGGGGTGGGCGGGGCAGCGGGCCGGATACGCACCAGAAATACTTGTCCGGACTGGGCTTCCCCGTGGCCTTGCAGCACAGGGACACGCTCTGGCCGGCCTGCCGTGCTTTGGTCTCGGGGTTCATCACGATGTACGGGGTCTCTGGGACACCAGAGGAGAGGCAGCGTTTGGTTTTGTCCTTTGGGATGGGTTCTCGATGGTATTTGAATTTTGTGGCTCCCCACCCTCAGCCCAGCCCATCTCTAAGGCTCCTAATACCCACGGGACCGGGTCCACAGTGGAGCCCCCCTTCCACCCTCTCGGCCTGGGGCCCCAGGCACCTTGTGCCAGCCGTGATGCCTGAGCACTACAACTGGCACAGAACTAGCTGTTTTGAATAGTGATTAGATACTGGTGTGCTGTTGCCCTTGGTGACTTTTTTTTTTTTTTTTTTGCCATTCTGCACCATTTTTGAGCTCTCCAGTCCCCTCTCTGAGACCTCCAATGCGCACACTGTATCATAATGGGCTGTTTCAGATAAAGTGATCTAGAAAGACCTCATCCATTAAGAACAAGACTTCCAATGTGTGGAGGAAGAACACGCCATGATGAATACATACAGCAAGTGCAAGGGCCTCAAGGCAGCAGTGTGTCCTTATTTGAGGAACTGGTAGGAAGCCTTCCTGACTGGAGAGGAGTGACTCCATGTGGGAGGAGCAATAAGAAAAGAAAGCCGCTGGACATGGCGGCACACGCCTGTAATCCCAGCACTCAGGAGGCTGAGGCAGGAGGATCACTGCAAGTTTGAGGCCAGCCTGGGCTACAAAGTGAGTTCAAGGCTAACCTGAATAGCATAGTGAAACTCTGTCTCAAAAGAGAGAGAGAGAGAAAGCAAGCAAGCAAGCAAGCGAGCAGAGAAATAAGGGAGGGCTAGACGATGGGGCCTGTGAGCCACACTGGAGACTTTGGGGTTCTCTCAGTTGAGGCAGGAAACCAGCTCTTAGCACCCAGACAGCTTTGTACCTGCCCTCACGAACTCCGCATTGACGGTGGCTGACTTCAGGCTGGTCCTGGGCATTGTGAGCACAATGGGGGCAAACTTGGCCTTCGTGATCTTCAAGTTGCTTTTGCCATCAGGGCACAAGCCAGGGACTCGGAACCTGCCACTACTGTCCGTCCGGGTCAGCACCTTTGGCACCTTGGTCAACAGGGAGACGGTGGCCCCTGAGGCTGGGTCACCGCCAGGGAGGGAGACAACTCCACGGAGCATGAAGTCCTCACACATGCAGGCGTCACACTCGGCATTCGCCTGGCCCATCGGGCAGGGCAGGTCACACGCTGTGATGCAAGGAGCCACATCAGAAGGGTGCGTGGGTTCCGCCCCTCCTTCCCTACACTCCTGCCTGTAGACTCGTGGACCTCCCTTCCTGCCTGTCACTCTTCATTGTCAGACTGCTGGGCTAACTCTTACCCATCCCCAGGCTGAGCCCAGAACACCTCCTCGAGGGAGCCTTCCTGGATTTCTCTAAGCCGTGCTCTGCTCTGCTCTGCTCTGCATTCCCCACATTATCCTACAGCCCCCTCAGAGGACACGGTACAGACTCAGTTAATACCTGGGGAGTGCATGAGGGAATCCATCTCGGACTGACTTAACTGCCCACCCTCTCTGGCTGCTCCAGCCTAACCCACCACACCAGGTCTGGCGCCAGAGGGAGGCGGTACCTGCACAGTCCTGGCTCACACAGAGCCGGCCCTCCTCGGAGGCCTCGCTGCACAGGGACAGCGTCTCTGCCAGGCAGGTGCGCGTGCGGGTCTGCACCCCCGTATGGCCACAGGCAGCCGAACACTTGCTCCAGGGAGACCAGGGACCCCAAATGCGCTCTTTGTCCCGGCGCAGGGACCCTGCAAAATGAGATCAGTGATGATCTAACCTCCCTCTCAGCGTGGCCCTGAGAGGGCTTGGCAACCAGGGATTTGATTGGGATGTGATTCACTGTCCTAGGATATGCGGGGACAGCACCAACTTCCTTCTCCTGCAGATCAGGGCCTATGGTGACTTGGGCTCCAGCTGCCTCTGCCCACCCCCTCCCCTCAGGTCTGAGGCCAAAGGCCAGCCTGAGCCCCCACCGCACATGACCTTTCTGGGTAACTAGGCCTGCAGCACCAGGCTATGCAAACCCTAAAGGGGCTGGGGCTGTAGCTCAGTGGCATTAGTGCTTGCCCAATCGAACTCATGAACTCATGAACTCATGAACTCATGGCCATGAGGTTATGAGTTTGATTCCTGGTAACAACAACAACAAAAGAACCTACAGAGGAGAGCACCCATCCATAGGAGTGGGCCTGTAGTTGGTGCCCAACATCTGAATTGCCCAGGGCAGGGCGGGATGTCAAGGACATAGACTCTGCACTTATCAGCTGTGGCACTGCAAGGTGTTGTCCGGCTTCCCAGCATGCCGTGCAACTGCCAAGAGGGCAACAGTGCGAAGGCCAGTGGGAAAGGGCGAGCAGGAACAGTATCTGGTATGCAGCAACAGTAAAAGGAACCAGCACTTTGTGAATTGGGGCTGCACCCTCTCCATCCATGATTCCACTGACTCCTCATCAAAAAATCTTTATGGGATTTACTCTTAGTCCTAATGCACAAGTGAGAAACGGAGCCTAAGAGAACGCAGGAAACTCGCGTGGGGAGCACAGGCCCACGTGGCAGGCTCAGGGTTCGAAGCCTGCGGTTGCCCTACGCTGCTTAATACCACAGGCTGACGGGGGGTCCCAGCGCCAGAGGACCTGTGGGAGCTTCCTGGAGGACTCACCAAGCGGGCAGAGGAAGCGCACGGTGTAGTTGGAGCAGTTCTTGCCAGGTCGCTGCTCCCGGTTGAGGCACCAGAAGCCCTCCCGGGGACTGCTGTGGACCACCTGGCCAGTGCTGCCCGAGGGCATCCAGTCCGTGGTCCGAGCCTCGAGCCACAGGGGGTGGGCGCACACGCGTTCCCCATAGTAGAAGCGAATGGCGTCCAGCCGCTCAAAGTCACCCTGCCCGCCTGGGTGGTCGATGTTGAACCACGCTGTCCACTCCCCAGGACCTGAAGGACAGGGTGGGTTGGGGAGCAGCCCTCGCTGGGGGACCGGGTGAGCTCGGTTCTCTCTCCTGCTTGGGCCCGGAAGTCTTCCCTGGTGCCACTCACCTGGCCCTGGCCGTCTCTGCCCTGTCACACTTACATCCTCAGCGTCTCTCCAGCCCTCCCTACGGCCCACGCTGCCAAGACCTCATCAGCCTGGCACAGCCTTGCCAGTAACTCTCTGCCTAGCCTCTCTGCTCCGAGGTGGTATGCACCTGGTGTTCTGGGAGGCTGAGACAGGAAGATCACAAGTCTGAGCCTAGCCTGCGCAATTTAACAACTTAATCAGACCCTGATTCAAAATTTATAAAATAAAAAGGACTGGGGATGTAACGCGGTGCAAAGGCCATGTTCAATCAATCCTGAGTACCTCAAAACAAAAACAAACACAAAAGACATCCCTTTGCAAGGCACCGGGGTGCTGGTGTGCTGACCCCCATTCTCTCTCCATGCTCACCTTCCTCTTCCCTCCCACCAGTCTATGCCGCAGCCCCAGCTCTATAGCGTTCCTGGAAGATACCAGGCAGCTTCCTGATCCTGAGCCATCCCATACTACGTCTCTCTGCCAAATGCCTCATGAAAGCGGTTTCCATGAAGCCTTGACATCACGCGTTTCGGAGATCCCTTTAGCAAGTGCGGTAAAACCCCAGCCCTCCTGGCCCTCCCTGCTCCAGCCACAACTCACTCTCCTGGGCGTCAGCAGGCTTGGCGAAGGTGCCAGGGGTCCTCTTCCCGGGCTGGACTCTTCTCACTGCCTGGGTGAGCACCGTCTGCCTCCCTGAGGGCCAGGAGAAGAAGCAGCTGAGCAAGGAGCCAGGATCAACCAGGAGCCTTTCAAAGTGCAGGAAAGCAGTATGGTACGCTGGATGGAACACAGGCTCCGGCCACAGGTTGGAATCCCCACTCTGTCCCTTACGGCTGTGCAGCCTCAGAAAGGCTGTATTTCTCTCTTTTCCCATAAAACAAGAATCCATTAAAAAAATCACAATGGCATAAAGTTGGGTGCATTATTGGGGGCGATGAGGAGAAAGAGAACTGGCATGGGGTGCATGCTTGGTGAACAGAGAGCTCACTCTTGCTCTAGAAATGGAGCATTAAGTAGGCTGGTCCTCCCCTTCTTGACAAGACAGAGCCACCCGGTGAAGCAGAGATGCTAACTGCCCCGCATAGGGCCATTTTGGCAAGAGCATCCCATGAGATAAACACCAACACCCCTCAAGTCCGTGAAGATGAGAGCATTGCGACCCGGCCAAGCCACTTCACCCGTCTGGCCCCATGTTCTCCCGTCATAAAATGAGGACATGGCCCCTGCCTTACAGGACTGCAGGGATTACAAAGGCTCATTCATAAAAGCCACTTAACAACAGCTAGCACAGCAGTACTAGCAACTCCCTTTAGCTGAACGCGCGGCCCCATAAACATCCCTCTCCCTTCCCTTGGCAGTTGGACAGAAACGGACCGGTGGTCCTCCGTCCTCTGGCCTCAGGCTGAGGGGCTGCCTGGAGATGAGCCCAGGGTCCCGAGGCCCCGAGCAGTTGCAGCCCTGCTCCACCAGCGCTGGTGCGGCTGGGTGGGAATGGGGAGAGGGAAGCAGCGGTCCACGAACGTCTTGAAAGGCAATTAACTCCCAGGCGAGGAGCCAAATCAGAATTCTCTGAGCTGCTTAATTGGGGTGATAGGAGCTCTTTTAATCAAGCTAATCTGATTTCCCCTCAGATGGCTGAATGTTAATCATCTTCACAAACAGCAGCTGTCCGGGTAGCGAGAGCTACACGGGAGGCGGGCGGGTGCGCACAGGGCTGCGCTGAGGCAGCCTTTGTTCCTGCATCTGTGTGCACAAAGCCTGCCTGGGGGGTGCCTGCTGCAGAAGAGGGTTTCAAGCATTTTTTCCCCCTTATCTGAGTATGAGCTTGGGAATGTGAAGAGGAAGGAGAGGTGGGAGAGAGTAGTCTGGTGCCTCCACAAGGCAGCAGGTAAATTCTCTCTCCCTGTTCTTTCCAGAGCTCACGGCTACCAGGGATGGAGTCAGAGGGCAAGGAGACCACAGAGGTCTCTGTGTGTGTCTGAAATTTGGTCTAAATGACACTGAGCTTTAGGTCAGAAGAACCCTTAAGAAACTAAAAACAGACCAAACCCCAATCTGCTTCCAACCCCTCAGTGATCTCCCATGACTCCCTCTTGCTTTGGCTGCCAGGAAGCTCAGAGCTAAATTTAGTACTCAGGGGTAGTAACTCTCCTAATCTTTTCCCACCCCTCTGAATGACTGTTCATCCCTCGCCTCATTTAAAAGTTTCTGTTCCATGAGTTTTAATACTGGGAACTATCAGCTGAGTATGGTGGTGCACACCTGTAACCCTAGCATTCTGGGAAGCTGAGGCAGGAGGATGGCAAGTTTGAGCCCAGCCTGGGCAACTTACCAAGTGAGACCCTGTCTTAAAATTTTAAAAAATGTAAAAAGGGATGGAGATTTGTTCAGTGCTAAGGCCCCAGGTTCCATCCCAAGCCCCAAGAAAAAAAATGGGGACAAATGAAATGTCTATCAAACAGCTGCAGGTCTTAAGGTCATTGCTATCTTAAGGCAGATACACAGATGGGTCCCAGACCAGACACAACTTCACGATGGCACATGGCAGCTATGGGAGGTAGCAGATAGCCTATACCTGACACAGAGGCGACTTGCAAGACCAAGAAGGAGAACAGCCAGGCCTCAGCCCCCTCCATCTTTCCCTTAGCCCTGTGGGAATGTGGCAGGAGAGGGCAGGAGGGCTTCACTGAGCCAGTTCGCCTCCGGGATGTGGTGTCCTGGGAGGCTCCTCAGATCCAGTGACCTACAAAGATACCAAGATTGTCAGACTCCACATTTCTGAGTCATCCCTAACGGCTGGAACGGAAGTGTTTCTTGACGGGTCGAGGATGGAAGGGTGGACGGAACGACGTCTTCCAAGCGTGATGTCTGCTTGAGCTGTAAGGCTAAGCAGCTTGGGAGATGAAGGGGCTCTGGATCTGAGTTCACACGAGGCTGAGCCGGGGTCCTGGAGCACAAGGGAGGACAGAAGCGGAGAGGCTCTTTGCCAGTGACAGCGGCCGGGGCTCCCTCTCAGGAGCCTCGTATCGGACCCAGGCTTGGGGGCTTTAGGTTTGCTGGCCTTGGTGGGGCTCTCGCTCTTCCAGAGCGGACTACATCTGAAGGCCATGCAGGCCTGTCCCATCTCCAGGGGCCCCTCCTAGGCGGGCAGGCTGGAGGCACAGATGGCTCAGACGACCCACCTCCAAGAATACATTCCCAGATGTGCACGGGCTGCAGCTGGAACACATTTTCCCTGCCTTTTGGGGGCCTGACTGGGAGTTCCACAGCCAGGAGCCAGTTGAGCAAAAGCAGAGGGGTGCAGTGTGAGAGGCCAGGGCTCCCCACTACCTGCGGAGCTGAGGTAGAGGCTGCAGGGTGTGGGGAGGAAAGCAGGCCTGGTAATTCAGGCTAAGGAACCACAGGGCGTGTGTGGCCCAGGCTCTCCCTCAACAGGCATTTCTCTCTTCCCCAGTACTCTGCCAGCCCAGAATCTGATCGGTTCCTGGAGATCAAAAAAAAAAAAAAAATGGTTCCCTTCAAGCCCCAAAGTCTGGAGCACGGTAGGAAAAGGAAGATTTCACTTCTCTGGAAAAAAAGATCCAGAAACTCTTGGACGCTCCAGAGGAAGGAACAAACAACCCCACACTGCAGACCGTTTAACCCTAAAACCACTTAACCCGTCCCCTCTCAGCCCAGGGAGCGGAGTCACCTGGAGGTTGCATCTCCAGGGAGTACAGAACTCACCTCAAGCACCGGGCCCTGAGCTGGGGCTGAGCGGTCCACAGGCCCGCAGAGCACTCAGCCTGAGTCTGTTCCAGGGCTGTCAGAGGGGCCGGAGGGGCGTGGGGCACCTTGTGGAAAAACCATTTCCCATCTGGCAGCCCATGGAGGTTTCTCAGCTTCCCGCCATCCCCCAGTACATGTCTGACACGCAGGCTCCCCAACCCACGCTCCTCCGAGCCCTTGGACCGTGAATGCTAGCTGGCCGCAGGAAGAATGCAGGGCACCCACAGGTATAGAGACCCAGGGCAGAGCCACGTGTGGGGTTCCTGACCTCAGACGAGGGAGGGAGAGGACTTGGGGGGAAGAGAGAACGCCAAGGCAGAAAGGGGAGTCTTTTCCGTGGAAGGTAAGGGGTCAGCCAGCAAAAAATGAGAAATGGGGTGTCAGGGGAGAGCCGGAGCAGCTAGGCGAGGCAGGGGGGTGCAAGGATGCAGTGAGGGACCTTGGAGTAGAGCTCACCAATCCTGAGCAGCTCTCCTTCGCTGGGGGTCTGAGTCCTCACTCCTGCAGCAGGCCAGCCGCGGGCCTTATATAGCCCAGCTGGTGGCTCAGCCAGTGGCAGGCAGCCATGGGAAGCAGCGGCGAAACCAGATCTGAGCATGAGCTTGCTCCCCTCCCCACGTCCCTTGCAGCTCACAGAAGCCAGGATTGCACATCAGGTCCTTAGGGGGAGATGCCGTGGGGCCTGCAGATGGCCCAGGTGGGCAGCTACCCAGGGCAGAGATAGGGGTCGGGCTGCGGGCTAGGCACCGGGAGCAGTGCCAGGGAAAGGGCCAAGAGGAATTCTCCAGCCGGGCAGCATTTCAAGGCTTTAAATATGGTGTGTTCTTGCCTAAGTGCTGCTTGCTGATCCCCACATTCCCTGGCCCCGGCCCACCCATGCAAGAAAGGACTTTGCTGCTCTTAGCACATACCCCAGGCTCCCTTTGGCACACAGGCCTCTCTGCTGGGTGTGTCTGTCTCAGCTGGACAACTGCTCAGCTTCTCTGGCCTCCCAGGGAGCACTCAGAACATCAGGAGGGCAAGGGACGAAGGAACTGGGGGCACAGGTTGTCACCTATGGAGAGCAGCTCGACCTTGCCTCTCCCCGCTTCCATCCCGGTGCTGCTTATACTCGTGGAGATCCCAGAGCCCAGCATGTGGAGCCCTCAGAGACCCTGCCAAATGCTCACACATGTGTCCTACTTCCGGGATGAGCGCCCCTCTGCAGGTGAGCAGCCAGCCCTACCTTACGTGCAGGTGGCGTGAGCAGCTGACTTGCGGCCCCAGCATGAGCCTGTCTGTGTCATGGGCTGTAGCTCTCTAATTTTAGCCTGCATCTCAAACACCTGCAGGGCTGTTAAAACACAGACTTCTGGACCCACATCCAGAGTTTCCAATTCAGTGGTGCCTAAGGCTGCATTTCTGCCCAGCTCGCAGGTGCTATGGAAGCTACTGGTTCTTGGACCATATTTTGAGAATTACTGTTCACGAGGACAGAGCCCCATTTGGAAGCAGAAGATGAGGACAGAATGTACTGGAGACCACACCTGTGCTGCCCAAATCCCGCCTCATGCCGGGGCTCACCCGACCCAACCTGGGCTTCCTGCCTCCAGCTAGCAACTACAAGAGGAGGCCTGGCCCTGTGGCCTTCCACACCAGGGTCACCCATCCTCGCTGAGCTCTTATTCTGCCAGGCTCTAGGCTGGGCACTGGGGAGCCACAAGAAGAAAGAGCCTCACGTGGAAATGATCCCACAGTGCAGCAGCCCGACCCTCATGCCAGGAGCCGTGTGCGTGTGTGACGCCTGCATGTGTCTCTGCCTTGCTGTCTATGCTTTTCCCCAATGTAAGTGGGGACTTAGTAGCTCTGTTTCCTCTGAATACTGCGCTGTGAGGGAAGAGAACATGATCGGAGAAAGGATGCTGAGCAGTAGCAGTCCCGAGGCCATCTGGTTTGCTTTCTCTCCCCGCCTTTCATCTCCCTTTCAGCCCCCAGCCCTTGGCCATGGGCCCTGTAGCCTCCCCAGGTCTGGTCCAAATTGTCAGGGCCAAGCTATGAAGCCGCTTCTGCCGAGATGTCTATCCTGAGTCAGTCTCATGTGAGCACTGCTGTTTTGAGGACAGATACACAGACAAGCTGAGCACCATCACCAGAACAAAGGGCAGGAGACAAATAGGAACTTAGGAGCCAGAAGCCCACTCCTGGCTCCGTCACTGACTCTGATGTGTAACCTTGGATGAGAAGCAATCCAAGAAGCCCTGGACCTCCGTGTCCCCAGCCCTCTCTTCTCTTCCTATAGTGAGAGGCAGGGGAAACCTCAGCAAGGTGGGAGGCGAGAATTTGGCAAGGTAGAGCTCTTGAGGCCAGGATTCCTGCCTGGGTCCCCTTGTTTGGCCTAGCGCTCAGGCAGAGGTTCTCCGAAGTGGCCAGTGGGTGTCGCCATGGTTGGCACAAGGCCAGGGAACCCTGCGCTAGTATCTCTGGGTTCTAATTCCAGCTGTGCCTTTTGTGTCCCCGTAGCTCACATCCTGTCCGCCTCCACACTCCCGGCGGGTCTTTTCCTGTTCAGAAGGAGCAGGGCTGGAGCGGCACAGGGCCGGACTCCAGGAACGTCAGACCACCCCAACCTGCGTTCCCAGAACTCCTCTGAGGAAGAGGCTGCCACTGAGCAACAACAATCCCCTTGCCATCTGTCCCCAGGACGAAGAGAGCTTGGGAGGTGACAATAAGCCTGGACTCTCCAGGGTCTGGCGCGGATGGGTCAGCTCCAGCCCCAAGTCCCCACCTGGGGCTTCTGCAGGCCAGGCCAGTCTGCAGCGGCTCCAAGCTCCTGCCCGGAACACACTGGAAACTCATCAATCACCCCCAGCCCTGCCCAAGGATGGAAGGGCTTGGAGCCTAGTTCAGCTCGGCTACTTGTAATCCAAGGCTATAGCCAGGGGTCCCCACCCTGCTATCAGGAAAGGAGCTTGGGAATAGCTGGTGTAAAACAGAACTCAGAGGAAACTTAGGCTCTCTCCCTCTAAAATCTTCCAGCTCCCAGCAAGCAACTTCTCGGCAACCCCCTCCCTCGGGAATGCGGACTTTCCATTTCTCACTGCACTCCTGTGCTTTTTTCTCACTGATAAGGACACTTCAGTAGTTTTCTCATGGGAATCTCCTCCCTTAGAGGGCAATCCTGGGTACCAGCACCGATAAACCTAACAAATAGGGGTATAGACAAGCTACACAGCATCCTGACATCCTGAGCTACACAAGATATATTTTCTTTTCAAGGCTAAGATAGGGTTAGCTAAAATGTTTGCCCGCTGTTCTTCAGACAAAGGATTACTATTAAGAACATATAAAGAACTCAAAAAAACCAGGACCCCCCAATTTAAAGACCCAATCCAAAAATGGCATCTGAGATGAATACATACTTCTCAGATGAAGAATAAGAAACAGCCAATAAAATATATGAAAAAATGTTCAACATCACAAATGGTCATTCAAGAAATGCAGATTAGGGCTGGGGATTTAGCTCAGCGGCAAAAGCGCCTGCCTGGCAAGCGCAAGGTCGTGAGTTCGGTTCCCGGTACCGGAGAAAAACCAAA